ATATATATATATATATATATATATATATATATATATATATATATATATATATATATTTTCGCTTTACATTTACATTACATACTTCATTAACTATCAACATAATCTATGACCAAACTTCCTCTTGTCCCTATATACGTATGTTCTCCTTCGTTATTGCCTTTTGTTATTCCATTCAGTATATAGCCTCTTATATCTTCTATCAACTCAATTAAACTTTTTCTTTCATTGCTCATTATTTTATATTTACAATTCTTTCTCAGTTCATGCCTTACCTCATCTATTCCTCCCTCTTCCCCTATTCCTCCCACTATTGAAATCACTTCCAATTAACATACATAGTCTTTTCTATATACAGGGTGTGCAAAATCTTTTTTCACAATTCGTAGGAAAGTAGAATGGATTAAACGGAACAGAAGAGTCAAATACAATTTTGCGAAATTCGCAATAGTTTTCGAGTAATTAAATTAATTTGTCTGAGACAATAACCGCTCGGGCCGGCGCGCGACCGTGATACACGCGAATGGCGGTTTGCTGCGGCTCTTCGCACATAGCTACGAGACACAGCGTAGCCACACCACACCGAGACAAGATGTAGGACCAGTTTAAGTATAGACAGTGGTTCATTGTCCAATCGCCACGCGTCGACATCTGCGCGCTATATTATTAGATGTGACTGGAGCGGTCCGTCCTTCACCATTCAGCACACGCTTTTCCTTAATCTCTCGTAATTAATTTCACGATTATTATTACGAATATCGCAAAACGGTATAGGGCTTTTATGTTTACCTCAACCCGTTCTACGTTTTTAAGAGAGCTTAGTAGATTGTTCTGGGACACCCTGTATATACAGGGTACCAAAAGAAAAATATAAGTAGAACAGATAAAAGTGAACAAAAATTGTATAGGTCATTTTTCAAACAACCACGTAAAATTTCGAGATATTAATTAAAATAGTGGGATTAATCAGAGCGCGGCGACGCGCCAGCGAAAAAAATGGACGATTGCTCGCGGGCCTATCACATGGGTGGTAATTACATTTTAGATCTGACACTACATGATAAACTCGCGAACATTCGTCTATTTTATTATTTTATTTATTTCATTTAATAACTCAAAATTTTACGTAGTTCTTCAAAAAATGACCGGTACAATTTTTGTTCACTTTATCTGTTCTACTTATATTTTTCTTTTGGCACATCCTATACGGGATACCCTACACACACACACACACACACACACACACACACACGCGCGCGCGCGCGCGCGCGCGCGCGCGCAAGGAGTTTTGAAAAAAGCGAAACAAGTTTAACGGGTGATTAAACTTGTATGTGGTTTCGCGTAGTTGTGATGGAACACAACTCCTTTACGGTTAACAAACTCTGGACGTTTCTGGATGATGTATTCGTTCAAACTGGCCAATTGCCGACAGTACACATTCGAATTAATTGTTTGGTTTCTTGGTAGGAGCTCAAAAAACACAATACCTTTAAAATCCCACCACACTGAGAGCATAACTTTCCTCTGATGAATGTTTGCTTTCGATGTCTTTTGAGGCAAATCATCACGTCGGGACGAAGACCGTTTGCACACCATATCGTTGTAAACAATCCACTTCTCATCACTAGTTATCAGTCGCTTCAAAAAAGGATCGTTTTCTTCACGTTTAATGAGCATATTGCAAATGTTTATACGCGCCGTCAAATTAACTTTTTTGAGTTCATGAGGAACCCAAATATTGAGTTTACTTACGTATCCCAGCTTCTTTAGGTGGTCGTGAACGCTTGAATGATGAATGTTCAATGTTTCTGCAATCTCTCGTGTCATGTAATGTAGGTTTGACTCGATCAATGCCTTTATTTTGTCGTTATCAACCTCGATAGGCCTCCCTGACCGAGGAGCATCTTTGAGATCAAAATCACCAGCACGGAATTTCGTGAACCATCGTTGGCACTGATGTTCTTGTACAGCATTGTCACCGTAAACTTTAC